ATCCTCAGAGCATGCTCAGTTAGAACATGTTCTCTGTGCTGTTTGCCCTGTTACTACAATGTCCATGTTTGCCCACAATCAAGCAAACCCCATGATCTGAGAGCTGCTTGGTCCTTCTAGGGATGCTCATATTGACAATTATGTCATGATATTGGTGCCTTATATTCCAGATATTTCAGCTATTTCCAGTCAGCCATTCCTGTACCTGCAGATGCATGGGTAGAAATATCTGTGACCACTGTCAGTCTCTCACATTGTTATAAAACAGCCATTGAGGTTTTCAGTGGGTTTTTTCCCCAAATTGTTTTTGAGGTGTTAAATTATAAAAAAAAAAAATTTTATTGCCTTTCAATCCACTCCTTGAAATGAGTACCTTAAATCTTTGCAAACAGAAAGGCTTCTTGTCTTTCTAGCAGTAGAGAGATATTCTAAACTTCCTTCTCTTATTAATTTTTCAGCATATTTCTAATGGTCAGAACAATGATGGGAAGGCAAAGTACAATAACAACACCTATCAAAAGAAATACCATATTTGCTGGTTTTCCCCAGGCCCAACCCATGGGATTTTCAAAGGCTTTTGTAGCTGTGGAATCACACCCAGCTTTGCAGGCTGAGAATGTGTCAAACTCATCAGCTTCCCCTCAGTTTTCAGCAGCAGAGGCAGCAGCTGCCAAAGCCAACACCGAGGAAGGCAGAAGGGTCAGTGGAGCTGCTGAGCCCTGGGACTGTCATGTGTTAGTTGTTTCCTTGTCAAGTTTTTCTCCAGAACAGTGCAAAACATTCCACTTTTGGCTGCAGGCTCTTTCCTCTCACAGTGGCCTGCAGTCAGGTGACTATTGCAGAGCTCTGTGGAACACAGGAAATCCTACAGTGAGTGAGTAATAAAGGAGTCACTGTGATGACTGGGGTATTGATTCCATCAGGCACAGCCAGGCTTAATAACTGACTGGAAGGAAACAGGAAAAAATAATTTATTTAAAAAAAAAATAAACCCAGAAATACTAGATTCTGATACAGTCCTTTGTTTTTTTAATGTTCATTTCAAACTGAAACACTGTGGTAATTTGTCTGGCTTTTTTAAATTATTATTGTTTTCTCTAGGTAATTTAGTAGGACAGTTAGACCCTGTAGAGTAATTTAACTGACTTTGGTTTTACCAAGGAGAGCATATGAGGAACTTACCCCCCTTCAGTTCACATTTCTTTTCTTGGTTTTATATAAACAAATCACTGGAAGCATCTCAGACCTCTCCATACGTGCCAGCCCGAATCTTCTGATCTGTGAGGTGGATTTAATATGCCCTTTACAGTGGCAATAAGAAGCTTTAAGAAATTACAGCTTAGTATATGCTCTGCCATACTGGTGTTTAAAGGTTCTGTGTATTTGCCTCATCCATGTCCTTCACTTACTCTGCCTCCCACCTCCCTCTCGGTGTCCTCCCTTTTTCTTATCTCCATCTCCCCACCCAAATTAGTAGTTACTCCCTGTGTGTTTTGCTCTTACTCACGACTGAAAGCCATCTTTCACTTAGTCTGCCACAAATCTTTATTTTAGCCTTTCCTCTCTTCCTCTGGAGTTATTCTTTGAAGTGAAAGTCTTCCAAATGACTCATAGGCTAAACAGCTGCTAACAAGTTCTGGAGTAAAAAGCTGCACTGTATTAAAAAAAAAAAATTAAAATATGACAAATGTTGTGTATTAGCATTCAGATCTGGAAATTCAGATCTTGTGTTGTAGGGTTCAGAGCAGATACATTTTTGAAATGCTGGTTCAACAGGAGGCTTTTGGTAGGTAGCATTTAGAAATCTGGGAGGACTGTTGGGTGTCTGTGTCTCTGTAGCTGTGCAATTCTGTTCCTCAGAGTGGATCAGTTCTGCTCACAGAAATTGGAAATGAATTCCAAATATGCTGCCCTGGAACATCCACCTGGGATTCCGTGGCAGGTCACCACACCAAAATGTATTTTTATTAAGTCACAGGTAATTCAAATGTAAACATAACAACTGCAACTGCCCTTATTTTGCCATGGCCAGGTTTGTCTGAGTCTCAGAGCTCCAAATATTCAGCTTAGCAGTGTCTTCACTGTCAGCACAGTGAATCACTGAGGTAAGGGGCAGTCAGAGAAGGAAGACTGACAGCAATAAAAGCAGCCATAGTTTACAAGATTATGCTTATTTATTTCAGGAGCAGTACAGTCAATGTGCATCATAGGCAGAAAATAGTGTTAAATGCTTTAAAGTAAATAATATTATTTATAAATAATATAGCCAATAAATTTGGAATGTTTGCTAATTGCCTCCTCGTTTTAAAAATACTTTCTGTGGTATGTGACTTTTAACTAGAGTGGTACAAAGAGGTGATGTGAAGACAGCAAAGCAGAACATAATTGCAGTTGTAGACTTCTTAATAAACCCCTTAATTGGTTTATTAAAATCAGTAAACCACAGTTGATTGGTTTGGAACAGGTAATCTAAAGTTGTTATGGCTTAAAATGTGCTCTGTTCTTAAACAGACAGCTTCAGGCTATGAGGACACAACAAGAGTTTCAGTAAAATATATAAATCTAAAGCACAGATTGCCCTTCAGTGATGCCTCTCAGGTCCTCCCCCAGTGTGCCCAGGGCACGAGGAGCTTTGCCAGGTACCTGCAAAGCCAGGTGTGTGCTGACACCTGCTGATGGAACAGTGCAGGGCCATTCCCTGTCCCTCTCCTTTCCTTCAGCATCTTCCTGTAACACAGAGCTGCTCAAAGGGTGTCAAGACTTCCCAGTTGCACTGAGCTTTCCAGCATTTCACTTGTTTTCAGGTCTCTTCAGCGTGTTGATCTGTTCCTGGATCCTCTTATTTGGGATATAAGTGCCTTTGGGCCAAAGTCTAGAGACCAGATAAGAAATGTGGCTCATGTCCATGTTATTTGGGGTTAATACCTCTGGATGGACGAGCCTTGCCCACACCCACTCCTGCCTGGAGAGCAGCATGGCATGGGCTGTCTCTTCACTCAGGGTGCAAACTCCAGAGGGAATCATCCCCTGGGGCACCTCACCTTCCCTTGTGGAAGGAACTGGTTGTTTCTGTCAAGATGGGAAGTAACTGCCCCATCTAAGAAAACTTATTTCTCAAGGTCATATTTTCCTAAGCTCTTCATAGACAAAGACTCCTCGATAACCCAGCAGTTCTCTGGGTTAAAAAAAAAAATAAATCTGTATTATCTTCAGCATGTCATCTTTGGGTTGTAATACCCATGAGAGATTTGCCAGTTGTCAGCCTTTGTCTCAGCCTGACTGGATCTGTATTTCAGTGTCAGGAATGTACTGGTCTGTCCCTTCATGGACAAAGTGCCACTGATGTCACCTCAGCATTAGTGGCATGGGTTGCCCATATGAAAACCAGGCAGCATTCAACAGTGTCAGTGAAGATGTGTGCCTGGAAATCAGGAAAGACTGGAAAGATTTGCAGGGTCTTTTCCTTGTTCACATTGTATTCACTCTAGAGAGGCCACATGGAAGATCCCTGTAAAATTTCCTCTTTCTCTGGCTGTGCTATGTGAGTGTGACTAAATGTCACTCATATTGTTCTGGCAGGCTTTATTTGCTCATATGTTGAATAGAAATCCCAGCCATGCAGAGCATTGCAGAACGTCCTTCCCTTGGCTGTGGGGTGTCCTGTGTCAGAACACCTTCCTCACATAACTCTCTGCAGCACTTGGCTTTTGGTCATGGTTTAAATAAGCCAGTGGGGGGCAGGAAATATATACAATAATATCAAGTACAGAGAATGTTATTTGTACATGACAGAACTGGAAATTTCCCTGACAAGAGGGACGGTAATTTTAGTGTGGGGAGTGTTCCAGGTGTTAATTTAAGCAAAGACAGTCAGAAGTTTTGACTGTAAGTAAAATTGCATCCTCACCCTGCTTCATGCCTTTTTGCATCATGCCTCCCAAGTATAACTCACTGAAGAATTTAGGACCATAGAGTCTAGTGACATGATAAATTATTATAATTCAGGATATAAGACTATAATAGAAACTGAAATAATTACACTCTTCTACAGTTATAAATTCACCTCAGCACAGCGTCATTAAAACATTTACTGACATTTATTGACAATGTTGAGTACATTTCTAAGAAAACACCTTACACCCTTGTTATGCCATTTTATTTTGTATAGTTTTACTTATCATACACCTCTTGTTGTAAACAGCTTAAGATTGACATGAACTTCGATTTGGTTCTTTTTCCTTTCTCCTTCATTGTCCTTTCTCTGTGATGGCACTTTACTGAGTCCCTCTATGGAAAAGTCCTTCCTGCACCAGGCAGTGCAGGCCTAAACAATACAAGCTCTTTGTAAAGGAACTGATATTGCTTTATATTCCCACATATCTTTTATCTCTATATAAAATATATATGCATGTTTTTTTTAGTTGTTTTCCTTAACCAATACTTCTTATAACATCTGTAATTCCAGGCCTAACCCTTTTTGTCTCCTCCTTTCCTTTCCTTCCCCTCCTTTCACTTATGCCCATTTTCACATTTTTCCTCCTGTATTCAGAACAGAGAACTCTTTAAGCTTGTTTCAAATTCAGCTCTCACCAGGCTTTCCTAAACCATTACCTGTGCTCATTATACACTGACCCTGCAGATTTCATGCCCTGTTACCTGCCCCAGGTTGTCCTCAAACGTGGTTTGAGTTTTAATATTACCAGAACTTCATTAAACCAAACTGCACTGCAAACCCCTTGCTATGTGGACTGGATCTTTAATGGCTACAAGAGAAAACTGAAGAGTTGGTAGAGGAAGGAAATGTAAGTCCACCTGATTTTGCCTCTCCTGGAAGAAAATTAAGCAAAAGCCATCATGAAATCAGCTTATCAGATAAAAAGAAGAACAGATGCAATGCAGAAATCTAAGGTGATATGACTTAAGGAAAATTGATTTTTTTAAAAAAAAGTCTTCATAAGCAATAAGATAGGACTCAGGAAAGGAAAGCAAGAAATTGAATTTTACATCAATCTTAAAAAATTTACTACCTTATCCAGGCCTTTAATTCCAGATTTGAATGCTGCTCCCCCACCCAAAGTTGCTGAGAACACTGTTCCATGGAATCCCTCTTGCAGGTGGCACCAGGTCACTTTTATCCCATGGTCCTCCAATCGTTTCTTGTACAGCAGTCCATCATCTCTGAGCACATCAAATTCACAGGTCAGCAGGAAAGTCTCAGGGACCTGAGCAACAACACTGTCTTCAGCCAACAGTGGTGAAAAAACAGGGTCAAAAATACCCTTGGTATGTGCATAGATTTCTTCTGAGGATGGATATGTTGGACTTGGTTTGTAACCTCTTGTTTTAAACTCTTGGGGGATGTAGTCAGGACTCACCCATTTCTGGTACTTCGGCCTCAGATCTTCTGGAACGTGGCGACCTTTAAACAGTTCTGGGAGGACAGACAAGTCTTTATTCATGTACTTCAAGCCCAGAACCAAAGTTCGTTCCTTTAACAAAATGGGGATTCTCTCGTTCTGCTGATAAGAAGGCAAATTAAAGTCCACACACTGGAGAAAAGGATAGATCAGGATTTGTGCTCTCAGCTTTGGGAC